TCATTATGCTACCAACATTAAAAATGACTCGCAATAAATGTCAAAAATGGATTTTCTTCTATGACGCCAAACGACGACAGAGAGGTCATACACGTATAATGATAAGGGACATAACTCCGCTATGCTTAATACTAGGTCAATGTAACTCAGATCACATGGAGAGTATTTTTGTGGATACTGACGCTATATTTTCGTTATTTTTGTTCACGTGAACCAAACTATTCCAATTCAAAGTTCCCCAATAAGAGCGGATAATGCTTTGGTAGTTTCACAATTTATAAGAAAAGATGACAACGTACTACATGTGAAAGCGCGTAATAGCGATTTGCATGGCCCTATCCGATATATAAGTTAGTTCTCCGATTCCCATATTCTCCTGTTTGTGTAGATGTATTTTGACTAATTTTGCATCGTTATTACAAGAGTACTAGCCATATCTTCAAATGTAATGAAATTGCTGAAAATAATACAACATTTTAGTTGACGTCATTGCTTGTTTTGTGCATTTTGCGACGTCGGAAAAAGACGACATTGGTATGCTGATTGGTATATATCTCACCCAATTTCCATTAATTTTGTGAAAGGGTTTCGGCTTCTTTGTCAGGATTAACACTCTTTAGACAAAACATAAAATGACTGTTTTTTTCATTTAAATAGTGTCCTGAATATATCAACAATTAGACAGTTTGACTGTGTATCTTATCATGAGCAACACGCGCACCTGTTTGGCATCAATTTAACGTAAATGAAAAATAACATTTCACAACACCAATATTTTGTTTAGGATAAGAATTTTCTTTATTTATGATTATGTAGCTATTTCTCTTCATAAGTATGCAATGGAAGATGCAAAAAGATAGCTTTTATAGATGGATCTAGTAATGCACTATATATTAGAATATGGATGTAAGATTTGTCTAAATTAAGACATGACATGGTTTATATATTTTAAACAATTTTCGTGATAAATATAGTTAGAGTTTGATATCCTGTCATCACAATATTGTTAAATCGAATATGAATTGATTATATTATCGAAAACAATGATAGTGAATCATGAAACGCTTCCTCGACAAACGCCAAGATCTGGCCAATCAATATACATCATTGTTTTCTCTATAAAACGACACAGAAATGTGCAAAGAACAAGACAATTCCTTTAAATGTGTGTGCATATACATTTCATAACATACATAAATCATTTTCATTAAATATTATCAGCTTTACTTATAAGGTTTAATGAAATCGCCGTTCATTAACCTGTTCATGTCAAACTGCAATATTAGTTCAAATGCATTGAATATTGTACATCATAGGAACTAAAGTAATTGCAGTTATGGCTACGTTTGATCTTCTAACACTTGTGTAAAGGTTTAGAATATAATGTACTGCACTAAATGTGTCAATTTCTTATGTAAATATTATTCAAACAATCATAGATTGTTCAAAGAATAAAACACTGTAAGCCCTATATGCACGTATGATATGATATTGGACAAATGTAGATACTGAAGTGAGTTTCATGAAAAAGTGTCTGAACGTTACTCAAAATAAACATCATAATACTGAGAGGGTGATCGGAAGGATTGGGCGATTGTGTTTACTCTTGTTCAACCGACCTTCACCTCAAAGAAATTGCCTAATATGTACAACAATGTTGACGTATGACATCACTACCGATGACCTCTTTCTTACAAAATGGCGGCTTTGCTGACAAGGATACACAGGATTTTGCGAGGACCCTTCCATTGATTCAGTGATCGTTTGTACATAACTATGACATGTAAGTAATCAGAATGATTCTGACTATCTGTGTATTGTTATATGTTTTTATCGCTTTCACTGTAAGAAAGAGAAGAAGCCAGAAATGCTGATAATTACACTTTGTCGCTCTGCGGATTTTAAGGCCAGTCATGGCCACGCTGCACGGAAATTTTGACAATTTCTGATGAATTATCAAATCATTGCATTGTATCTATTTATAATTTCCTATTTCTTACTACTTATACTCTTTCCATGCATATTCCAAATGTATTGAGCCATTGCAAGCAATGAATAGACGGATGAATGTTGGAAAAATTTCAGAAAATGCTACGCAAATGTAAAAATCGAATTTGTCTTTGTTTACATTTGGAACCAGCAAGTCTTTGGAGCACGCCAGTTCGCTTTCACACCCAATATGTTTCGCCCTCATTTTATCTGGACAGTTGGTATTGGTGACAAAGACCAGTTGCAATTTGATTCTAAAATGTATGGGGAATTCAGTGATGCATTTTTCGGGCTGAATATGAAATATACCTGATGTAATAGGCGCCTCAATACCGCCTTCGCTAAACATGATTTTGTAAACACTATCCAATATGGCGGAAAGCGCCTTCACGGGCGCTCGTGTAAGTGTATTTTCGAAAACATCCCAACCGATTCTAGATTCATCGGCAACGCTTCAGAATTATCATTAGCGCATTTCATGTAAAAGTGATATCAGTGTTAATTAATATGTTATTTTTTAAATTCAATACTCCCAGGAATTATCCGATTTTCACATTTCAAAACATACAGCAAATAACGCTGTGAATCGCGATTTCGTACTTTGTCAAAAATGACGACATTTTTTATGAAGCCTATTTTGAAAGGTCATTTTCAGCACTTGAGCTTTGTCTAAAATAGTAGTGGATGGTATCAAGAAACAGGACATTTCCCGCAGAATTCGAAATTGTGAAGTGTATTTGTGTGCGTGGGATATTTTGATTGTTATTGGACTTGAAATTGAGGGTTGAAGGGGAAGGACATATATGTCCCTGTGGCATCCAGGGGGTTAATTAGAAATGTGTTGAATTTTTTTTAAAAAGAGAGCAAACGTAGCAAACCGATTTATAAGGTGTCGGATTACATGAAACTTACAACTTTTGCTCTTGGCATGAAAAAGAACATCGTGCTAAAAATTGTGAAAAATAAACCAACAACCAAGAAACAAAACCTTGTACAAAAAGGTAGGCATCCAAAGTTAGATTCTTTTGACATCAGGGTCATCAGAGATGTCATTCGCCAGCTATTTGCTAGAAATGAACACCTGTCCACAAGAAAGTTAAAACTCATCCTTGCAGAGGATCACGACATTAATGCTGCTAGGTTTATGCTAAGCAAACTACTGCTCAAATTTGGATACAAGTACAAGAAGGTAGCAAACCAGAAACTTGTAATGTGTGAGAGATCTGATATTGCGAAAAATAAGGTGTAACTATCTGAGAGAAATTAAGCAGGCAAGAGAGGATGGGTTCGAACCTATATATCTGATGAGACCTGGGTCAATGCAAACCATACTGCTGTCAGACAGAGGCTACCCATTGATCCCAGTGATAGTAGGAAAATACCAACAGGCAAAGGTGAACGGTTAATCGCTCTTCATGCTGGTTCCCACCGTGGATTCCTACCTGGGTGTGATCTGGTATTTCGGCCAAAGAGCACATATGGTAGGGACTATCATACAGAAATGAACTCAACGGTTTTACACAGTATGTTGAGGAACAATTGTTGCCAGCTCTGCCTTACAAAAAGTCTTGTTGTCATGGACAATGCTACTATCACAGTGTTCGAGATCCAAACAATAGGTGCCCAACCTCCAATACAAAGAAGTCAGATATGCAGCAATGGCTAACAAATAACAATATACAATTTTCAATTAAGGCCACTAAACCACAGTTGTACTCTTTGATTAAACCTAACAAACCTACACCCAGATATAACATTGACAACATGCTACGCCAACACAGCCATACGGTCTTGAGATTACCACCGTACCACTGTGATCTCAACCCAATCAAACTTATTTGGGGAGACCTTAAAAGTACAGTTGCCCGGAAAAATCAATCATTCAAGTTGAATGATGTCAAGCACATTGTCAACACTGCTATATGTGACATTGACATTGCACGCTGGCATGCATGTGTTGAACATGTCAAGAAGGTGGAGAAAGAGTACTGGCTCAAAGATGGCTTGAAGGAGCAAACAGTTAATCCAGTTGTCATTCGTCTGACCCTGATGATTCCTCTGTGGAAGAATGGAGTGAACTTGATGAAGTTTAATTCTATTATTATGTTTACAGATAATAATAGTATCCAGCCAGATATGCTCTCAGAGAAATATGACTTCTTTTAACAATGACAGCACTGACTAATTCCAACAACTTATAGTGTAACATGAAACACTCCATTTCACATAAAATTATCATGAAAATATAAATACTAACTATCTATATGCTTAAAGTTATTAGAAATGCATTGTTTAATTTGGAATGTGAACTACATCAAAACATAACACTTTTTGTCTTCATTCTATCTTTTCTTCAATGAGTGTGCATGATTGTGTGTGCTTGTGTCCCAGGAACGGGCTTTAACAGTTGTTGAGTTCTAACCATAGGTGGTCCGATTAATGATTTAGTGTAAATATACTTTCTGTGTTCTTTAAATGCATTTCCACTTAGGTACTGCATAAACAAAATATGACATTAACATTACAAATTTAAAGATTTTAACCTACAGAATAATTCTCACAAATGGGTTTTGTGGTTAATGTTGAACAACTCAGAGAAACAAACTCTGTAGGATGGTTAACAGTTGGCACCCACCTTACCCTATTGACGACCTGTGACACCTCTTCATACCTGTCACGTGCATAGCTGACCTTACATTGGACGAACGTTGACCTTTATGACCCACCACTGCCGCTGTTACAGGTCATTGGCTCCTCCCTCTGCAAGCAGTCTGCATTCTGCTGTTTATTTTGTTGACAGTTACATAGACAGATTCTTTCATACAAATGCATAACATTGGTGATTTACAATGTGATTAGGTTGTCTGACAAAACATCCACTTGCACAGTTTGAGATCGATTGGATCATTGGAAGAAGAGATATTTACAAAAAACGGGTCCACATGCATTTCATGCCAAACCATATGTACACTTCGCCCAGGAAATGAAAAGACACAAGTTGGGGCTAGTAGTACTAGTAGACACAAACATACATGACACAAACATACATGTATTTCACAATAGGAATCACATAGACTGCAATTAGGGCATTGATAGACTGTTATATTCATCTAAATCATGATATTTTGGTAAGCACTATACCGGACACAGTGTGGACTAGTAGTGGAAAATATATGCTTCATTATATGTTCCTGTATCATTAGAAATATAATGTATCACGAACTTATGTATGTAGAGAAGTATTCTTGGTGGATAATGTTTGTTTTCATTTTCCATCCAGACTATGAATGGACAACATACCCAAGTGTTCAGACCTTGAGTCCTTTGTAAAACGTTAACTGGAAATACTACTGCAGAAAATTGTTGATTCGATAAAAAAATGAAAGCCGCTCTCATTCAAATATTTGAAATTGCACTCCTTGGCCTTTCTTTGTTTTTGATACTTACATACAGCAAACACTGACACAGTGCCTAACATGCTTAGTCCTTGTAGGATTCCTGAGGCTGATACACAGCTCTTCAGACAATTTGGTAATAATTCCTCAAATTTGGTAGTTAAGAACATGCCCTTAGTTTGCAACCTAGCTACTTCTCTGTAAAGGTGGTAACCGAACCATTATTGAGATAAAGGCATTACATTCATAGTTTGGCTCTTTGATGTTGAGTGTAATTTTGAAGTATGTTTGAATTTAAGTCTAAGGATGTTTGTTTAAGAAAATGTAGGTGTTAATATAGTTTAAAAACATTTCCAAACTTTTAACATTTTGCCTTAGCTTCTTGTCACAGGAACCTAGTTTGAAACCCTAGCAAATCCTTCACCTGATTGTTATGTACTCAGGTGGGTGAACCTGACCTCTTGTATGTCACATGTTATACTTGATGGATTTGAAAACATGCAATTGTCAGTAAAAATCATCCTAGGTTTTGTACAGGCTGATTCTTAACAGACCTATATTTGAGCGATTTTATGTCATGTAAATGTTTGTATTTTACAGATTCTTTTAAACAATGGCGGAGGCATGTACTCAAACAGATCTGGCATCTGAGGAAGATAGTGTGGAAATGGCCAGGGTATGTAATTGATGTACAGTATATTGCTGTAGTTAAGCCGAAATTTTGAGGACCAAAAAAACCAGTCTGTACATGGGGGTCAGCTTATCTACGGGTAAACTTTTGTCAACAGTTTTTCATGGGGTAAGAAAATGACATCAATATGATAGTGATTGCTGTGAATAATGTGGACCAAAGCTGTAAATATCGGAGAATAAACTTGTATTATTACCCCCGCAACAACAAAGTTGTGGGGGTATAGAAACGCAAGGCCTGTAAGGTCCAGATTTTTGCTGTTTCCATGGAAACATGACTTAAGCTGCTTAATTATGAGGATGTCATCTTGTCAGGAGCAGATCTCCTAAACTATACATGCTAGCTTCATCAAACTTGGTACACATATCAAGCATGATCCATAGACGCGCATTTGATGGTTAGACCCAGATACAAATTTATTAGTTTTCCTTATCCTGACTCATGTATTATTGCTTGTCTCCTTCCTTTCCTAACGCTAGTGGAACACTTTGTATCTCCTTTTGAAGCCCCTTCCAAAAAAAAATCAGACGTGAAAATCACTACTCACCACGGGTTGTCTCCCCTCTGGTTTTGGCGGAAAACGGCACCACCGCATCTTCCCATGCTTCACTCTCCTTCTTACCCTAGTGGACGGTTGGGAGAGCCTTCGTGTCCACACGCACTATATCCTTTGATTAATTAGTTATTTCCCTATAAGTTACCTTTATAAGGTTTCAGGAGCATCCTTCTACAATATGGTTTGAAATTTATTCGTAATTTGACTGTTTATTCACGGTTTTTACGGATTGTTCAGTTGTTTACATTTCATGAAAACCTGTTTTTGTTGTAGGTTTAGGGTTATCTGCTGCAGACCCGCATTTACTGTGCCCCAGTTGCACAAAAATATGTACTTCCAGCCTCGCTGTAACTTATGTCAGCAATTAACACAAATTCAATTTAATAATTATTATTTCTCTGTACTTAGGCGCGCATAAGGATAAATCCAGACGACTTTTGCAAGTCATGGATAAACCGGCTGAGTCCCTCAAGAGCTGTCTATCAAGTTGGCAGACGACATACTCCATCCAGTGACTCCGCCGGAGGCGCCCTCTGAAGATGGGCGGATGATGTCTGCCATTACATCAAGAAAAGGTCTTCTACATCGGACAACTCCCTTAACCCATACTGGCGAAGAAGAGGCCATCTTCAACGCGAGAAGAAATCTTACACCCCTAAGACTTCAAGCAGCTCTCTACCGGGGGAGTTCTTCGCGAGATTACGAGGACCTTTTCGGCAAATCGGGCCCCGATGGAAGAGAGAGGACTTTATGATGAGCTGCTGTTGATCATCCCAGAGATACAGCATAAGAAAAGGAAGCAGGCCTCAGCAACGGTAACGCCAGCAGCCCCTATCTACGCAGTCCGAAAGTTACCTTCTACACTGACAGCAGAGATCCATGAGGCACAGCGATCCCTGACCATATCACAATTACTATCTCAGATAATTTACATCTCTACAATGGTCGCAGACATTCAACCCCGGGCCTTTTATGCAGCAATTCTCTCAACAGATGATGGAGATGATGGAGAAGCGCCACAAGCAGAAAGAGCCTCACATGATGGACAGCCAGGCGCTCTCATGCTCAAGTCATCAACCTGAGAGAGGATCCAGACCTGCATGAAAGACCCCACACTGATGATACATCTGAGAGGCCCACCAGAGAATCTAGCTCTAGGACTAAGAGCAGATCTACGCTTACATGACGCCAGCAAACCTGCTTGCGCGGGACGGCATGCTCTTCAGAACCAATGAGATCGCCATCAGATGATGAGGCTAATGAAGAACCTTCTCGCAGGGCTACCCACTTCGCAGAGAAAAGAAACCTACACACCACCTAGAAGGTCGAGAGAGCGTTTCGGGACTCCAGACCCTCAACAAAATCTCTCACCTCCTGCACGGAAGGTCATCTGAATTATCTTCAGGAGCCATTAACAACAAGATCGTCCACGCAGTCTTCCTGGAATACATTGCCAGGAAGGCAATCCCGACTTAAGATTGCAGATCGCCTCTTAGAACTACACGTAGTTCAACATGCTCATCCCCCACATAGATCGCCACGTAGATCGCCACGCAGATCCCCAACAAAGGATGGTCAACGATCTTATGCCAGTGGACATGATACAGAGGACAATGGCGTATCATATTTCTCGACTCCAGAGAGATAAAATATTGGATGGTTAATGGACTGGACCTAGCATCACCCACAGGCCCCCACTTCGCGGTCAGAAAATCGATAAACTAGGCCCCGGTTTAGTATCAACACCCCCTACTATATAATACATAAAGGTTCATCACAGAAATACGGTGACATGATCGAAAACCGGACAATTACGCTTATCACGCCAATTACTATATCGTGATTTTAAAGGTCTCACAAGTATCAAAAGCTTTTTCGTCCATATCTCCGGGATGTATGTAGGAGGCATATAGCAGTGCACTTCCTGTCTAATTCGACCAGCTTGGGACCGCACTAAAAAGTCCGAATTATACAGTAGTCCGGCAATACACAGATTTTAATGGAGTTATCTCCCTATTATCAGTAAAATTAAAATTATAAACTATTTTTCGCAATGTTATTGAAAACAACGATTCTCGGACACCTGCTTCGCAGCTGGTCCACAATAACATATTGTCAAAGAGCAAAATTCATGAAATAAATTGAATAAACTAATGAATGAAATCAAACAACATTCATAAAAGTTGTCAAACGCATATATAAAAATTACTATTTCCATCTGTTTGTGCCATCATGTAATGTAAGTCAAGTCACTTGACAAGTGACATCTCGCTCTCGCCAATCAATCTTCACTACCGACACGAAGTGTTCAATGCTAAAATATATATACATGAAGCATTTTTTGGCACAGGTCATAGCCTAGCACGATAAGTCGAATACGCTCCATCATTTACGTGATAGGTAGCAATTCCTTACTTAATATGTTCAGAATAGCATTATTTTACCCAGAACTTTTGTCTAAATCTAAAAGTTTTCGCATTTGCGACCGTATCCATTGCCGTAATATGATTAGCTGCCTTAGGTCATGTGTCTGATTTTGACCAATCACTTCACCCTGATAGCAGACTGTATTTAAAAGCGCCATTAGAAACCAATCTTTATCCACAAAATCGCTTCTTACAACTGATTGATATCACACTGTGTCCAAGCGGACTTCCTGCTCAGTCCTAATTATATAGCAATGTTTTTACATGTAACTACCTTATCGGGCCGACACTTTGGTCCAAATCCAAATAATGAGAGTCCGAGATACAGAACTTTTTATTATGACAACAAAGAAGGATTACGCCGGACCGCGGAGTTCAGTCCTGTTTATACAGCAACCGAGAAAGACAGAGTCCGAGCTTTGACAGAGTGCACTGTACGCGCTTTGCGTGGGGATGCATTTGATGGGTTTTACTAAATCGCCAAATCGACCTAAGTTGCAGCGGGAAGTGTACAAAACTAGGTCGCCAGCTAATCAAATTGGCCAACACAGCACTGAATGAATTTCGTTTCTTTAAAATTTATTTGTACTCGTTTCTTTTAAAAATTATTCTTTACCAAGATAAAACATCAGATAGTGACATCTTGATGATAGACGCTTGGGTTTCCTCTCTCATTTTCGCGACGCATTTGTTGGGTCATTTTATTAACTCAATCTGATTATGATTGACGATCTAGTTTTGTACAATTTCCCGCACAGCAACTCGGTCTTTGGCGCATTTAATAAAACCTATCATCAATGCATCCCCACGAAAGTTTATGTACAGTGCACTCTGTCAAACTCGGACTCTGTCTTTCTCGGATTGCTGTATAAACAGGACTGAACTCACGGGTCCCTCGACGTAATCCTTCTTGTTGTCATAATAAAAAGTTCTTGTATCTCGGACTCTCATTATTTCGGATTTCGACCAAAGTGTCAGCTCCGATAAGGTAGTTACATGTAAAAACATTGCTATATAATTCGGACTGAGCAGGAAGTCCGCTTTGGACACAGTGTGATATCAATCAGTTGTAAGAAGCTTATTTTATTGGATAAAGATTGGTTTCTAATGACGCTTTTCGCCACAGTCTGCTATCAGGGTCGCGGATTGGTCAAAATCAGACACATGACCTAAGGCAGCCAATCATATTACGTAACGGATACCGCCCTCGTAAAACTAAAACTTTAGATTTAGACAAAAGTTCTGGGTAAAATACGCTATTCTGAACATATTAAGTAAGGAATTGCTACCATCAATGAAATGAAGCTGAACGATTCTGGACTTATCGCGGCATAGGCTATGACCTCCAGCCAAAATGCTTCATGTATATATTTTCGCATTGAACATCGTGGTCCGAAATGAAGATTGATGCGCGAGAGTCAGATGTCACTTGTCAGTGACTTGACTTACATTACATGATCGCATCAAACAGATGGAAATAGTAATTTTATATGCACGCTTGACAACTTTTATGAATGTTGTTTGATTTCATTCATTAGTTTATTCAATTTATTTCATGAATTTTGCTTTCTTGATTAATGTTATTGTGGACCCGCCGTCAAGCTAGGTGTCCGAGAATCGCGATGTTTTCAATAACATTGCGAAAAATAGTTTATAAATTTTAATTCTGCTGATAATAGGGAGATAACTCCATTAAAAATCTGTGTACTTGGGACTACTGTATAATTCAGACTTTTAAGTCGGTCCCAAGTTGGTCCCTAATTAGACAGAGTGCACTGTATATGCCTCCTACATACATCGGAGATATGGACAAAAGCTTTGATACTTGTGAGACCCTTTAAAATAATGATATAGTAATTGACGCAGCGTAATTGTCCGGGTTTCTCATCATGTCACCGTGATTTCTGTGATGAACCTTTATGTATTATATAGTAGGGGGTGTTGATACTAAACCGCCTAGTTTATCGATTTTCTGACCCGCAGTGGGGCCTGTGGGTGATGCTAGGTCCAGTCCATTAGCCATCCAATATTTTATCTCTGAGTCCTAAAATATGATACCGCCATTGTCCTCTGTATCATGTCCACTGGCATAAGATCGCTGACCATCCTTGTTGGGATTCTGCGCGGGCGCATCTACGCGGCGATCTATGCGGGGATGAGCATGTTGAACTACGCAGTAGTTCTAAGAGGCGCATCTGCAATCTAGTCGATCGGGATTGCCTTCCTGGCAATGTATTCCAGGAAGACTGCCGTGGACGATCTTGTTGTTGACGCCCTGAAGATAATTCAGATGACCTTCACAGCAGGTGAGAGATTTTGTTGAGGGTCTGAGTCCCAAACGCCTCCCTCGACCTTCTAGGTGGTGTAGGTTTCTTTCTCTGCTAAGTGGGTACCCCAAGCAGAAGGTTCTTCATTAGCCTCATCATCTGATGACGATCTCATTGTTCTTGAAGAGCATGCCGCCCCAAGCGCCAAGTAGGTTTGCTGACGCCATGTAGCGTGATCTGCTCTTAGTCCTAGAGCTAGATTCTCTGGTGGGCCTCCCCTAGATGTATCATCAGTGTGGGGTCTTTCATGCAGGTCTGATCCTCTCTGGAGGTTGATGACTTGAGCATGAGAGCCGCCTGGCTGTCCATCATGCGAGGTTCTTTCCCTGCCGGGCTTCTCCATCATCTCCATCATCTGTTGAGAGAATTGCTGCATAAAGGCCCTCCCCGGGTTGAATGTCTGCACCATTGTAGAGATGTCGATCTGAGATGGTAGCGACATGGTCCAGGGATCGCTGTGCCTCATGGATCTCTGCTGTCAGTGTAGAAGGTAACTCGGACTGGCGTGATAGGGCTGCTGGACGCTACCGCTGCTGAGGCCTGCTTCCTTTTCTATGCTGTATCTCTGGGATGATCAACAGCAGCTCATCATAAAGTCCTCTCTTCCATCGGACGATTTCAGGCCGAAAAGGTCCTCAGAATCTGCTAAGAACTCCCCGTGAGAGCTGCTTGAAGTCTTAGGGGTGTAAGATTTCTTCTGCGCTGAAGATGGCCTCTTCTTCTTCGTGATGGGTTAAGGAGTTGTCCGGCTGTAGAAGACCTTTTTCTTCATGTAATGGCAGACATCATCCCACTTCCATCTTCAGAGGACGCTTCGCAGGTCACTGGATGGAATATGTCGCCTGCCAACGATAGACAGCTCTTGAGGGACTCAGCCGGTTTATCCATGACTTGCAAAAGTCGCCTGGATTTATCCTTAGCAGCACTAAGTACAGAGAAATAATAATTATTAAATTGAATTTGTGTTAATTGCTGACATAAGTTACAGCTGAGAGCTGGAAGTACATATTTTTGTGCAACTGGGGCACAGTAAATGCTGGTCTGCAGCAGATAACCTAAACCTACAACTAAAACAGGTTTTCATGAAATGTAAACAACTGAACAATCACGTAAAACCGTGGAATAAACAGTCAAATTACGTAATAAATTTCAAACCATATTGTAGAAGGATACTCCTGAAACCTTATAAAGGTAACTTATAGGGAAATAACTAATTAATCAAAGGATATAGTGCCGTATTGGAGACACAGGCGCCTCCCAACCGGCCCACTAGGGAAAGAAGGAGAGAGTGAAGCATGGGAAGACGGGTGGCTCGCTTTTCCCCGCCAAAACCAGAGGGAGACAACCCGTGGTGAGTAGTGATTTTACGCCTGATTTTTGGAAGGGAGCTTCAAAAAGGAGATACAAGTGTTCCACTAACGCTCGAAAGGAAGGAGACAAGCAATAATACATGAGTCAGGATAAGGAAAACTAATAAATTTGTATCTGGGTCTAACCATCAAATGGCATCGCCTATGGATCATGCTTGATATGTGTACCAAGTTTGATGAAGCTAGCATGTATAGTTTAGGAGATCTGCTCCTGACAAGATGACATCCTCATAGTCGCAGCTTAAGTCATGTTTCCATGGAAACAGCAAAAAATACGGACACACAGACGATATGCTTTTTATACCCCCACAACTTTGTTGTTATGGGGTAATAATGCAAGTTTATTCTCCGATATTTACAGCTTTGGTCCACATTATTCACAGCAATCACTATCATATTGATGTCATTTTCTTACCCCATGAAAAACTGTTGACAAAAGTTTACCCCGTGATAAGCTGACCCCCATGTACAGATTCTGGTTTTTTTTTGGTCCTCAAAATTTCGGGCTTAACTACAGCAATATACTGTACATCAATTACATACCCTGGCCATTTTCCACACTATCTTCCTCAGATGCCAGATCTGTTTGAGTACATGCCTCCGCCATTGTTTAAAGAATCTGTAAAATACAAACATTTACATGACATAAAATCGCCAAATATAGATCTGTTAAGAATCAGCCTGTACAAAAACCTCTGTTTTCATTTCAATCAGGATGATTTTTACTGACAATTGCATGTTTTCAACCATCAAGTATAACATGTGACATACAAGAGGTCAGGGTTCACCCACCTGAGTACATAACAATCAGGTGAAGGATTTGCTAGGGTTTCAAACTAGGTTCCTGTGACAAGAAGCTAAGGCAAAATGTTAAAAGTTTGGAAATGTTTTTAAACTATATTAACACCT